AGCCTTAGTTTCTCCATCCAGGACAAAGTAGGAGGAGGAGACAGAGTGGATGGTTCTGCTTCAAACAGTGAAAAAGAAGATGTAGATGCTTCAGCTTCAAAGGATGGAGAAGAAGGTGTGGATGCTTCCATTATAGGAGATGGCGCGGGAACGGAAGGAACAAAGGCATTAATATAAGCAAGCCAGTCCGAAGAGCAGATCTTCGCCTTCTTGGCTAAGAATGATGGGGTGTACCCTTGTGCTTCTTCTGAGCGCCGGATAGCAGGCATTATCTTCGTAAGTATAGAAGATGTATACGAAGCCACAAGCAAGTTCTCCTCCAAGCTACGTCGTTGGTCAATGGGCACATAAGGATAGACCACTGAGCTTCGAGCGTAGGAAGGAAATTCCAAAGGGTCAGTGAATTCAACGAAATGGTGATTGATTCGCTCCCTCAAATCACAAGTCTCAGGTGTTGACCAGTTGGTCTAGCCAGAGACCCCAGGAGATGAAGAAGTTGTAGCCTCATCCCATGCAGAATTTTTTCCTAAATCCATGGCTGCAAATTGCTGAATCGAGGGATCGAAAGCAGTTTGTTCGAAATGCAAGGAAGAATCAGAGGAAGAATTTCTTGTATCTATGGCTGTAGTTTGTCGAATCGAAGTCTTAAGGGCAATATATTCGTGGTCCAAAGGATGATAATTTGCAAAGGCATCCATGACCTGAATATAGGAAGGTGGATAAAGGTGGCTAATGAATGCGTGGAGGTTCTTTTGAGGGGGATCAGCATTACCCAATGACTCTTCGTATGCTTGATCAGTAGAAAAGGGAGTTGGTTTAGCCATGGTCTGTTCGAATACTAAGGTGTTGGGATATTCAACAAAATCAAAAGGGAATTAATGCAAATAATCATCAAATAGGTGACGGTTATGTTTCCTGGAGATGAATTCCATACACGATCCAAAAGAGCGGGAAAAGCTTCTTGGTCCACTAATATCACCAAGTATTGAGTATATTAGTGCGGGGGGTAATGTTAGCTATATATTTTGTAAAAGCCAGTTACAGTCTGACACGTGGCAGAATAAGGGTATTATTGGAAAATAATTTAAGTCTCCAATCCTGATCGTACACGTGGTGATGATAATTGGTTCTCACATGGTCTGAGCAACATTGGATCAGTAAAGAAATGCAAGGTGACGTGGCTTCAACGGTTACTCATATTCAAATTCAAATACAGGAGGGAAGCCTAACTGCAAATGGGGGCATAATGGAGCTACTTCTAAGGCAACATGATCAGCGATCATGGAGGGGCAGTTCGACGGTTCGAAGAGCAGTTCGAAGGTCATCTTTGACAAGTATAAATAGCAGAGAGACCCCCAGGAAAAGGGACGGAACTCAGATCATACACACCAGTCTTCATTTCATATTTTTACTTTCCAGTTTTACATTCCTGTACTTTCAATACCTGCACTTTACATATCTGCGCTGCACTTCAATTCATAGGAGTAGTCTCAAGTAGATTCAAGTGGACTGTTGCTGTAAACCTCTTCGAGGCTGAGTTTGGACTATTGTAAGTTTTTCATTTTTATGAAATACTTCCATTGTTCTTCATATTAATTGTTATTTCTCTTAATTTCTCTTAAGTCGAGCCACCAGTAAAAGTCCTCTTCATTGAGGCTGAAAAGAACTAAAACACAGTCGTCTGGTAATTGGTTGGCAATCAGAATTTCTGTAAGGACTGATTGATTCTTGCTGGCACGCTCACATTTACAAAAATACCCTTCGAAAAGCCAAAAAGCCAACAGATATGTGATGTATACATAAGACCTAGAGAGCCGAGTCACCTGTAAAAGTTATATTATTTTCAAATTTATGTTTTTAGTGAATTTTTTTTTTTTAAAAAAAAATTGCGTACAAAAAATTATTTTTAATTCAATCTAGGATATAAGGATTTAAAAGGTAAAAACGTTAAAATTAAAATTAAAAAACAGGTCACTAAGACACACAAAAAAAAAAGAAGATTTTATTGAACCTTTTTCAAATTTTATTTATGTTTTTTTACTTTTTAAGTACGTTTAATAAAACTTAAAAGTGTAAATCTTTTTGATAAATTAAAAAAAAATCACTAAAGAAAAGAAAAAAGCAGTAAAAAAATTGCCAAAAAACAATTTCCAAACTCCACCTAAGAACAATGCTACATTCACAAAAATCATACACAAGAAAATATGTGACCCAAATTAATTTAAAATGTGGGCCTCATTACGTAAGAGTTGAATTTTTTGAGTTGGTTTCCGTACATGAATTCTATGCACACATTTTTACTAGAAGAAGAAACAAATCAAGGTGAGTAAATAGTGATTTATTCATTGTTAGAGACCAAGGGTTAGCTGATGTGCTCCCTTAGACAAGAATGTCCAGATTTAAGTCTAATGCTATATGAATCTATCCCTTTCCAGGCGGTGATTGACAACTTAGACCAAGTTTGGGAAGACTAAATAAGTGCACTTTTTAACTTTTTATGAAATATGGGTTGGATTTGGGTTGAGTTTGAAGTGATGTGTTAGAGAGGTGATACGATTTAAATAAGATGATGTTACTTAAATAAGATAGTGACTTTTTGATTTTTTGAATTTTTTGGAGGATGCCAAACTTACCCTTAGTTTTTTGTTTTTTTTTTTATTTATTTTTTTCACAAGACAAACATTTTACAAAATTAAAAAAAATAAATCCAAACAAAATATCACATCAAATCCCATAATTATTTCACTTTTTCTCTCACAAACATCACATCTAACCATAAAAAAAATCTAACTATCTTCCCAAACATAAAAAAAAAAAAAAAATTCAATAATATTCTATAACTAAAAAAATTACAAAAAAAACTATTTCCCAAACACCCACATTATCTATACCAAATAATAATAATAATAATAAAAAAAAAAAAAAAAGCCAGAATAAGATGGACAAGGTAAAAGCTGAACAAACACAAATGGTTCAGCATATTTCTTCTTATGCTACAGAATATCCCCTACCCATCTTGGGAGGTGTACTATTTCTTGGTCTGAGGATGTCTTTTAGATGGTTCCTTTTTTGTGGTGTTTTTTATCCATGAGAAATGTTTGGGACTCTTTTTTTTGGGTTTCATGATTCTCAATTTAATATTAGTACTTGATATGTGTGTGGGGTCCATTTATATATGTGTGGATCTCATATTATGAGTAGTTGGAATGAGAGTGGAAATTGTGGAAGTCATGTACGAATGCAGATCTCTATCACAATTGTTTATCCATATAGGATATTAATAACTTATACAACCTAGTACATCTTGAGGAGACAAAACCTCTTTACCCTCTCCTCTATACTTCTTGCACCCACCCAACTCACTTCTATACCACACGATGAGTTTCTTTGACATAACTGTGTAGTGGAGAAAGACCTTGGAACAAGGAAGATCCGGATTAAAGATCCCCTACTTATCTTCAGATACAAAATTACCCATTTCTCTTCTCTTGAAATAAATAAAAATTCTATCCAAGGTGGTAGGCAAAGGGTGTGATTGGCAAATGCAACAACTGTTGAAGACACTAGTTGCAACATATTAAAAATCAGTTTGCAAAAAGCATAGTTGCCCAAGCCTTATCTCAATAGAGTTGGTTGAGGATTCTGTTTCATGACTTTCAAATCATTAATCATTAGGATTTCTAGTGTGAGTATACCTTTGACCTTTTTTTATACGTCAAATCATTAGTCATCGCTATTCCATTTTCAATATAGGTTTGGATTCTATACCCTATCAGAGAAATTAGAGTACACTAAGCTAAGGTTAGTGATTTTTCTCACTTTGCTGAGCTCCTACATCTAACATGATTGTAGCTAATGCTCCACTAAATGATCTTTGCACCGCACACTCTCTTTCCATCATCTATTTTAAAATTAATCAGTGTTAAGAATTGCGGTTGTAAGGCCCCTTGTGCTTGACTGATTAGTCTCTTGAGCACTTGAAGTCCTTATGTAGGTCCCGCCACACAGGTTGAATTGCTTGATTAATCTTTTCCCAAAAAATACCTTTGGGGCTCAAATCCACTTGTGCTCTGATTCCACTTTTTAGGATTCTTATTCTTTCTATTTTCACCTTCTCCTAAAATTAATTCGCATTAAGAAGGATTAATGCTGTGTTTGGTTGGAGGATTTAGGGAGGGATTTGAAAAGGGAAAAAGAAAGGGAAAATGTGTGTGAAACTAGGTGAAATGTAAATATATTTTATTCACATTTCACCTAACTTTTTCCTTTCTCTTTCCAAATCTCTCCTCAAATCCTTTAACCAAATACAGCTTATGTTGTCGCCCCTATACTCAAAAACTACATTATTACAGAAACCAAGTTTCAAAATGTGAAAAAAATGACTAGAGTCCCAAGTAGGTATTCAAACTTCTCATTTGGTACATTTCACAATTCACACAGTTGATTGAGCTTGTATTCAATGCTTGGATGTTTTGAGAAGCTAAGAAATTATATAAGACATCTTTACCGCATGTAAATCCCAGAAAACAGGTACAGATAAACCAACCCAATTTGTAGTCAAATGGTTTCATGTCCTAATAATCAATCTTTGCCCCGAATCAATCAATGTCCTAACAATTAGGGTCAGACTGTTTTCACGCAATGGATAATTCAAAATTTCTGGAAATAATTGGAGAAATTTTAAAACAAGTTATATACATACTAAATGCTAATAAAATGTATGAATTTGCGAAAAACGTGAACATAATTATGGAAGTATCAACAATAGTTGAGGGATTGCATGTCAATTAGGAGTTAGTCATAGCATCAATCAAACATATTATTTGCTGAAGCATACTAGAACGAGAGGAAGATAAAGTATGACATAATCAGTAGAAAATCTGTTCATATCTGATATTAAGCATATTTGTCATGCTCATAGTCCTGCTCGAAGCAAGTTAATAACTATTTGATAGGGCTAGCAAGATATGCATTACTTTAACCAGGAAAAGCAATTCAGAGAAGAATATTATAAGAGTCGTACAAACTACATAACTTTTCTTTCTAGAGAAAAAAATGTACTGCTCTGTATTGTGCAACTGCAAACAGAGAGTTTGCAGCTTACAACACATCTGTTGCCCGATATGGACATCAGGCATTTCAAAATTTAAGCTCCCCTCACTGTTGTCCTCACTGAAATGGGGAAGAAAATCATTACAGGAACACTCTAGGCATCAAAATTTAGAAAACCTAAGATTTAACTATATTTTGATTTTCTAATATGATTGAAAAAAGTTCCAACCATGTAGTGCTTATTCAGATATGGTGCATCTCTATTACAAAATCAACCCCATGCGATTTACAACCAAAAAAAAAAAAAAAAAAAAAAAAAAAACGAGGAAAGAAAGGTGAAGCATAACTAGACGTTTTGAGCTGATATGCGTGCGGTTAGTGCCGAAGCTGTCTTGAGTTCGTTGAGGTTCCACTAACATGCAATTCCAGTAGCAAAGTGGAAATATAGAATGTTATTCTGTTCATTATTTCGTAAAATGAGGTATGAATTGCTCTGCTAAATTTTGAAAATGGTCATTTTCCCCCTCGAGAAGGCGCACAACCTGCCATCATGTTTGTAGAAAGATCTAATTAGTGAAGGAAAAAAAGAAATATGAAATGTGATAGACTAAAGAAGACAGATATTTCAGGTATATGACTTGAGAAATATTACCATTTAAGCTTTCATATCTTGAACTACGAATGCCATTGACTGTACTCATAAAATAGATGTTTCCTAAAAGTAGGAAAATATTCCTTTTGAGCAAGGGCCTAAGGTTATTCATACCAAATAATTCTTGTTATGCTTTGGCAATTGACAACCAGTTACACCAGTTTAACTTTTATTTTGAACAATAATGCTAGGATGACCACATTTTTTTTACCGTCTCCTATCTTATCATTGCATTGGTAGCAGACATAAGTGATGGGACCCATTTAACCAATATATGAGATGGCAAATACAATATGGTGTACATAAGCATGGTAATTCTAGCATTTGATGATGCCAGATTATCTTTTGATTGCTAACAAAACAAAATTACATTGGTAAATGCCCCTGTTATGTTTTTTCAAAATCTGATCAATTGCAAAACCGCTTTAGGTCCCCACAAACAACATAAAAAACAAAAGTACTACATTTTTTTTCCTATTAGGAACACGAATAATTGGCAAACCACAAGAAAGTTGTACACCCACAAAAACCCCATATAGAATGAGTATTCAAAGCATGAAAGAAAACTACCTCTCCCATTGATGGGCGCATCTCAGGGTTGCTTTGCACGCATAAGTACGCTGTTCTGGCCATGTGGTACAATTCATATGTGTCATATGCCTCACCAAGACGAGGATCAATGAGTTCATGTAAGGCGAGTCTCTCAATCAGTGGTTCTGCCTAAATGGCCACAAGATATGATACACCTTTTGAGGGTGCGACTTTACAAGGGTCCGACAAGACTCTGTAAACTGTCCCGACATTGCTTCCAGTTAGTTTCTACAAGGGTCCAGCAAGACTCCGTAAACTGTCACAACATTGTCTGCTACAACGGTCCGACATGACCCCATAAACTGTCTTCTACAACGGTCCGACATGACCCCATAAACTGTCCTCTACATCGGTCTGACACCACCACCATACAGTGTCCTCTACATGGTTATGACACCCCCATACAGTGTCCTCTACAACGTTATGACACCACCATCCAGTGTCTTCACCAATGGTCTGACACGACCATACAGTGTCTCTTATCCTTTTTTATTTTTATGTATTTTCTTGTTTTGTTCCTCTCTTCAAACTCAAGTTGGTTAGTTTCTATCCTCCTTGAGTTTGCGGGGGGCTGTTAGAATTTACCATAAACCTACCACCACTACCACCTCACCTACTCCACTAAACCTAACCCACTACACCACTACCACCTCCACTTCACCTACTCTCCACCTACTCCCAAACACACTCCTATATAATAGGAATCCTTGTAATTGTAATAAACACAATACATCAATATATCAATCAATAATACAATTCTCTATTTCTCTTTATACATTAAATTTCTACATTTTATCACCTGGATGAGATGAAGTGCCTATGCAACTTAGAATGTCCTACAAGAAAACTTGGCATTATTTTTAATTAATTATGTAACGCTAAACTATAAAAGTATGCCCAATTTACTAGTTTAGTCCCCATTGGATGCGGGTTTGCGAGGGGTAGATGGGGTACAGGCTAACCTTCGGCATAATTTGCACAAAATGGCTACTTTCAAACCCACAACCTTAAGGTTAGTAGGCCTAGTTTTAACTACTAAACTAGTGAACCCCTGCTTATGTAACACTTCCAGATAAACCAAACCAAACCAAACCAAACCAAGCCAAGCCAAGCCAAGCCTTGAGTCTCATCAAATGGTTATGTAACACTTCCAGATACTAAGAAAAATATATATTAAAAAGATCCTAGAAATATAAGGCAAACCAAGAATCCCTCCTTTTCCAGACACCGCTACTGGTTACATGCTAACACAACATGGGTATTCCCACAATTGACATGCCATATCACATAGACAGGTAACAAAATCTGACTTAGATGACAAACAGACAGATCTCTGGAAATCTAAACCACATTAAATCATAAGCAAAAACCATGATAATGCATTTAAATGTCTTTTTTTTTTTCTAATGGTAATATAAGTCCATGTGGAATAGAAATGTTCAATGCTTCCAAGCAATGCAAAAACAGAGATTCCCTTGTCTAAAAGTTTTCCAAATACCAAATGCTAGTATGAAAAACTTTTAATTAATGCAAGTGTTGAGCAAATTTATCCCTTCACTGTTAGTTTTAGTTAACAATAAAAATGGATGGTCAAAATTGGTATCATTTAAACATTCGGGGTTTAATTTGTCACCAAGGTCAAACCCTGTTTTTGATTTTATTTTATTTTATAAATTTCCCAAAATTTTACTTTGTGCAAATATGAAGTAAATTAAGGTCTCGTTTGGCAACTCAATATTTTCGCCTAAAAAGCCAACTTCCTACTCTGTTATCAGAATCTTACAATCGCGATTTGATTCACGATTCGATTCGCAATTTTTGCAAAATCGATAGAATCCATGGGTGAATTTATTTTGGAAGTGAATCTCTAATGAATCGCACGATTCACAATCAATTCACAATTTGATTCATGCAATTTTTGAAATTATTGTGTTCGACATATTTCCGACTCTTTTTTTCTCTATCTTTTTAGTGAAAATGACATAATACAATTTCTAATAGCATTTAATACCAAAATAACCAACATATATACATGATTTGCTTTTATTTTAGTGATCATGGAGTTTTCAATAAGATCCAATCAGATTCAGTAAGACCCAACCTATTTTTAATCTTTCTTCTCATTTTTTCCCCTTTAAAAAATCATAATATATCTTCTAAAGATGTTTAAGATTAAAGTTGCACTATGATTTATCTATTGCTATTTTATTAAAGGAAAAGGAGATAAGTGTGGAAAACCCTGTCATAGGAAAGATACTGGGAAATGGGATGATTAATACCAATGTTTTGAAGACCAGACCGGTGAGCGAACCGGAAAAGGGACCGAGTGGACGGGTCACCGGTTCAACCGTCGGGTCAATGCGGTTGAACCGTGACGTCACAATTAATATTATATAATTAAAAATATAATTAAAAATTATAAATAAATAAAAATATATATAAATACTCAAATAAAAATAAAAATTGTTGCATAGTATTTATTAATAATATTTAATAAAGTCATAACTGATAAGAAAAAGTCACTTGTTTTAAAGAAATTAAATTTTTTTAACATTTCCTTCAAACAAATTGATTGAATGCTATGGAAATGAAATTTTCAATTCTCTCTCCAATCAATATGATTCAAATAATTTGATTGAATCCCACATAGAATTTTGTAGGTTCTCTTTAAAAAATATTTTCCTATAAATAGCAATAGACTTTCATAATCTCCTCAAGCTTTCAATGAGATTCCTCCTTATGAGAGGAGACTCTTGAAGTAAGAATTTTTAGTCAAAATTTTGCCCTTTAGAATCCCAAATGAGTAGTGGCTATGCAGACTGAGATGGCCACCTTAGAACAAAACCATACTCGGGATCTTGTACCTTTACCTCCTGAGGAAAGCACCGTTGGTTACAAGTGGGTATTCACTATCAAGTATCTTGCAAATGGCTCAGTTGACCGTTACAAGGCCCACTTGGTGGCCAAAGGTTTCACCCAGATTCCTGGCAAGGATTTTGCCGCCACCTTTGCACTTGTTGCCAAGTTTACTTCTGCGCATCTCCTCATCTCTCTTGCAGCATCACATTCTTGGCCTCTTCATCAGTTTGATGTCAAGAATGCGTTCCTTCATGGGGATCTACTTGAGACGATTTATATGGATCCTCCACCCAGTTTTCGGGCTAAGTGGGAGTATTCGGGGAAAGTGTGTCGATTACACAAATCACTATATGGTCTGAAACAGTCTCCACGAGCATGGTTTGGTCGCTTCAGTTTTGTTATCAACTCCATTGGTTTTGTTCAGTGCCATTCAGATCATACTTGTTTCATCAAGCGTAATTCTGCGGGTCAGTGTATCATCTTGTTGGTTTATGTAGATGACATTATTCTCATAGGTGATGACTCTACCAGCATTGGTCATGTAAAGGAGAACTTAGGTCAGACTTTGATATTGTAAGAATTGATGTTTTATTGATTGATATATATTGATATCTATTACAATGATTCATGATTCCTATATATAGAAGAGGGTGAGTGTGTAGTAGGTAAGGAGTAGGTGAAGTGGAGGTGGTAGTGGTGTAGTGGGTTAGGTTTAGTGGAGTAGGTGAGGTGGTAGTGGTGTAGTGGGTTAGGTTTAGTGGAGTAGGTTTAAGTGGGTGAAGTAGGTGGAGAGTAGGTGGATTTTAACAGATATCAAGGACCTAGGCAGTCTCAAGTATTTTCTGGTGATTGAGGTTGCACGCTCAAAATAGGGAATTTCTTTGTCTCAAAGAAAGTATACTCCTGACTTGCTTAAGGATACTGGTATGTTAGGGTGTAATCCTATTTCTACTCCTATGGATCCTAATGTCAAGCTCACATCAGAGTCTGGTGAGTTGTTGGATGACCCTAGCATGTATCAGCGTCTTGTACGGCGTCTAATTTATTTGACCAACATTAGACCTGACTTGACATTTGCGGTTAGTGTTGTAAGTCAATTTATGCATGCACCTCGTACAACGCATCTTGACACAGTTCGTCATATTTTGAGGTATTTGAAGACTTGAGGTATTTGAAGACTTCTCCTAGCTTGGGACTGTTTTTCACAGCTGGTCTTCAATCTAGACTCTCTTGTTTCACCGATGCCGATTATGCGGGATCTAGAATTGATCGACGTTCCACATCTAGCTTTTGTACTTTCTATGGTTATCATCTTATATCATGGAAAAGTAACGAGCAAGCAGTTGTGTCTAGGTCGTCTAAAGAGGCTGAGTATCAAGCTATGGCACAAGGAACATGTGAGCTTCTTTGGCTTCGCTCTATTTTGATAGAGTTGGGTTTTACTGAGACTATTCCTTCCTCTTTATTTTGTGATAACAAGTCTGCCATTATGTTATTCTCTGATTCTGTGCTTCACGAGCGTACCAAGCATATTAAGGTTGACATACATTTCATTAGAGAAAAGGTTCGGACTGGAAGTGTGAGTTCATCCTTTGTCTCTTCTTCACAGCAGTTAGCAGGCATATTTACCAAGTCCATAGGACCATCTTTGCTTCAGTCATCCATTGCCAATCTGCATTTATCAAATATCTTCACTCCAACTTGAGGGGAAGTGGTGAAATGTAGTACATAAAATATTGTAGAATAGGACCTTTTTTTTGTTATGGCCATTGTTTAGGCCTTGATTTTATTTATTTTTCTATGTTATTTCCTATCTTGTACAGTTTCCTAATATTGCACATATTGATCTATATATTCATGGGCTGACCTCAATTGAGATTAAGTCAATTCATTCTTTTTTTCTTCTATAGTCTTATTGTTGATGCAACTAATAACTAATATTTAATGTAAAATGTAGTTCTTCCATTATTATTTGATTGTTATTCAAGGATGAAAATATTTCATAATTGCTTCAACATTGCTCTACGAAAGATGAAAAACCAAAAGTAGCCATTCCATAACCCCCCTTTTTCCTCTTTCATCTCTTTTCTCCATCTCTTTAATTAGCAAAGGAGTGTCTTTAAATTTTGCATCAGATGGTATCCATGTAGATACATGGTGTGTAAAAACTTAATTGTGCCAACTGGCCTATTGAATAACATGTAAGAGCAAAAAAAGAAAAAGAATAGAAACAAAAAAGTCAATATGTAACGAAATGTTCCTTCTAAAGAAAAATAAAGGATTTATAACATGTAAAATGATGAAACAATAATAAAGCAAATATTGAAATTTTTTCTCTAAACTTGTAATTGTCATTGTTCAACATTGACCCCATAATTGCATTTATTATTATTTTTCAAAGCTTTTAGTGGATTCAAAATGAATAAATTTAAAATTTATACAAATATTAAATAGTTATTTTTCTAAAACCTCAGTGAGGTCAGTCGATCCACAAAACCAATGATTAAAAAGTCAATTGTTACGTAATGATTTCGGCAGGTAGTGAGTACAGAAACCAATATTTATGGTTGTTGCAGCTTGAATAAAATAGGTTTATGCTCTACTGCCGGTAAAGATATGCCCAATTTTGATTTGCACTAACAACGTAACAGGTGTAACGGCATTGCATACCAAGTGTAACAGCCATAACAGCATTCGATAACAAGCATAACAGCCGTAACAGCCCATTACGACACTAATACACAAATTGTCAGAAATCAAACTTAATTAAATGCACAGCCTAATTCCAAAACTTAATTAAATGAATGCATACCAAGTGTAACAGCCATTACTTAAAATCATGTACATGACAAATGTATTAGTTGAATGAGAACTGGTATTATGTATGATCTCTTATCATACAAGAAAATGACTATTAACTATAAAAGTCCTGAAAAATTTAAATTCCATAGTATCTCTGGTAATGGGGATAAGGCTGCGTAAATCTTGCCCTTCCTAGTAAATGCATTTAAACCTTTTGAAGTATCGGCAGAGATTATGCAACTCAAAAGGAAAAAAATATATAGAAAAAAAATGTCGTATTCAAATTAGTAATTTACCAAAGGAACAAAGTCATGCGTGATTAGTATATTGCTTGGTCGCATGTCCCGATGAATTATAGGACCTCCACGGCACTCTTCATGTAGAAAACGCAGGCCTTTTGCAGTTCCAATGGCAATAGCATGTCTTTGGTGCCACTCAAGAACATCTTCTGTCTTATCTATAAAAATATCCATGCAAATGTAAAGCAAATGAGAAAAAGATTAAAGAGAATAAAAAAAATAGTAGTTAAACTACTCATTTTATAGACAAGAAGGAATCTGTTGGCAAAGGAAATTAATAAATATTGAGATGGGAGGCATTTGAGACTAACAACCCCAAAAATTACTTACCAAATAGATGCCACTTAAGAGACTTATTGCAGATAAACTCATACACCAGTATGTTAAGATTTTCCTTGCAACAATAACCAAGCAGCATCACAATGTTCTTATGACGAGCGAAGCTTAAAACATATACTTCAGAATGAAATTCTGTGAATCCCTGTGTACTTGCTTCTTTCCGCACCTTTGCAGCAATAAACTGGCCATCTTTAAGCTCTCCTTTATACACAAAACCATATCCACCTTCTCCTAACAAATTCTCAGCAGAAAAATCATTTGTTGCAAGCTGTATCTCAGAAAAACTAAATCTCATGGACTCCTTGATATACATCTCAGTCTTCATCCCACAAGCAGTACAAAGAACAGGTGCATCAGAGGATTGCTGCTGGGCAGGACTTTTATGTAGTTTATGAATGATTGGTGGAGTAGCAAACTTATTTTCCACTTTCATGTTCCCACCTGTTGACATTGTTGAACAAATCAGATAGAGAGTGAGAGAGTTCTGCTGCCAAGCCTTTGGCAAATGCAGTAGCCAGAGCATAGACAGATGACAGATGAGAAGACATGTCATGGGCATATTAGATACAAGTGTTCTCTTAATTTGTATTATGCAAGAAAGACAAGAAGGATAGTATTTTATCCTGAAGCAATATATCTATCCTAGCCAGGATAATATACTAACATTATCAAAGTGCTCTTCAGCCATTCGAATTCATAACAGTTGGTGTAGTATAATCTTACTGCTACCATCACCAACATTGCCTTAGTCACTGATAATGATCAAAGCTGAGGAATGTGATATAACATGATTGAGATAGAAAGGAGCCATGGTGTATATTGTTAGCAGTTTAGTACCATCGCTTCCTAAGTTGCACAGATTTTACTTTTGGTAAACAATGTTTAACCAAGCTCAGATCAAAACCTTTGTGAAGAGAATTAATATGGATCAGAAGCTTTCAGGAAAAGGCCATGGAACTCTACAGTTCACAAAATGATGAATTATGAATTGAAATTTGTTCAAAACCTTGAGAAACAGAGAAAGACCTCCAATGTTAGAGCTTTGAAGGTCAAGAGATGATTCTACGTTCTTCATGGGATAAAAGGTTTCCTTACTTAATCTTTACCATACATCAATATATGTATAAACCACTCCTATGGCATTAGAAAGTTAAAACCTCCCTGACAATTACAGCTTGCCTTTATATGATGCAAACAATTATATCCATTGAAGTCTTCATTTTTAGTTGATATGATGTATGAGTTATGAAACCAAGCTAAGAACATCTCTGACTTCAAAGATATTTCCATTAAATGGTATTTTTATGCTAAAAACTATGAAGAAACCTGAAGGACACTTCAATCCTCCCTTGTTTCATTTGAAACTAATCATGAGTCACTTTTCTTCTATTTTTCCTATTCTAAATTTGTATGGTATTGTTAAGTTCTGAAGGTCTACTATTAGAGCAGTTAAATTTTGCTTCAGTTGGATATAAACACATGACAATCTTAAGATCACTTTTGTCACCATTTATACATTTGATAAAAATTAATATAAGAACAGGTTATTTTCAAGAAGTCTATGTTTAGGAAATCCAAGACTAAATGCCATGACAATGCATTTTGTATATACATATACATGAATTCATTACAAAAGCATGTTTCTGCAGGTAATATAAACTTGAAGAAGTCGAGTAGTTGCATAGACATGTACAGCGGTATACAAAAAGTAATGACTCGATTTATATGATTATGAGTAGAAAATTAATAAACTAAATTAAAATCAAAATAACCCCTCAATTTTACTTTAGTAAGTAAGACTTAGACCATAATGAAGTAAGTACATCTAATTATGACAAAAAATCAACATCCATCTTCCACGTTCATGAAAATGAGCTTTTATTCAGTAAGGATAATGGCTTCTATTGATTTAATTCGTGTACACAAATGCGCAACAGAATCTTGTATTTTCCCTTCCTTGTTCTGGTTTCCACTAGGACACAACACAATCACATCTTCTATACATCTGTAGCAACAGTGTGGCAGCATTGGCAAGACATGGGCATTACAAGGTGGGTTTTCTTTGTAGTCAAGGAAGATGGATGAGTGGGAATGTTCATAGAGTAAAATATAAGGGTATAGCTCTCACGAATCGCTCACTTGTCAAAGTCTATTAATTTAACAACACCTAATAATGATGACAGTTACATGAGACAAATTAAACCAGACCAAGTTCATATAATCTTTGAATTTGTGACTATCAGTATTCCAATTTGGCATGTGTTCACAGAAATAAGTCTTGCTTCAAGCAAATTTGAGCACAGGTATCACTGCCATTGCTTCAGGAAGAGAATCCAGAGCCACTGTTGCTGCTAGTATGCTCATTATTGTTTTTCCTCTCTCTCTCTCTCTCTATATGTATATATATTTCTTTGCGGACAGCGGGGGTTGTTAGAAAATGAATCAATTTTAGAAGGTTGTAGTACAGAAACTAGAGCTCTAGCTTTAATTTCTAATTCTAGAAAAGGACAGAGACATGGAATAAGGCAAAGAATGGTTTCTAAATCAGTCTGGTCAGAGAATCCCTCTCCATCAAACAATTTAAGTAAAAATAATGGTGCTAGCCAGGTTATATTTGTAATTTGAGGCTATAATACAGATAGGGGCACTCTGGAGGATACAGCTACAGGAGAACCAGGAATGGAGAGCTGCCCGCCTCTTTGGTCTAAAGAACATTAGTTTTCAGAATGAGTGATTGCCCCCAAAGCAACCTTAGCCATTTGAATTGTATAGTGAAAATTCAGCTCACAAAAATCATCCTAGATGTCTAAGAAGTACAACAGTAAAAAATAACTGCAGTTTTTAGATTATGTAATGTGATATTTTACAGCATTACAAAATTACACATTTTATATAATAAGCATTTGATAAACTTCCCCAAACACTTACAAAAAAAATGTACAATATTATTTTGATATTCGTCATAACATTTAATTTGGTTTTACCTTATTTTCTTAACAGATTAGTTACATAAGTTTTCAAGTGCTTCAATGACTCTTCTCGTCTACATTGATACTTCTCAAACACTCCCCGACAAACCTATATGAACAATTTCTGGCATTCTTTGTAATACAACACACGTCCCAACATTTCTAAAAGTAATAAAATCAGTAAAGTATCAATAGACAATTTCTAAAATAGAAAAGCTAAATAATAATAATAATAATTGAAATGCTTTAAGAAAGCAAGTACCTGGAGGATGCATTTATACTTGATATTTTGGAGCTTCATTTTTCACATTTTGATATTTAGGTAAAAATATTCATATAGTAAATTGAATTTCTGTTACAAAAACTACTAATTAACTTACATATACTTTTCTTATATTATAATTTATATGCATATAAGATATATAAATATAGAATATCTTTCAGTATCTTTATGTGTTTGTGTTCATGTATAGTGTGTGTTCTTAGTTTAGTCCTACCCAAACTAATCATAAGATCCTATCCACTATATGCATGACAACTTGCAGTCAATTATCTAACTGGGGCATCCCCGTCATATCTTTTTTCCCTAAAATTTGTTATGTTAAAAGCAGGCATCATTTATGAATCACGACTCAGATTCAGTGCACTTCACTTAAAAGTTCCCATGTTTGGCGCCTCCTGTTTATATTGGATATCAACACCCAATTCAGGTCCTTACTTTCTAGATGTTAAAATCACTACATAAGAATCTTTCTACAGCTAGACAATGAATCTATACAAAAGTCAATGTCGTATTATAACTAATCAGGTACGGATGACAATGTTATAATTTTCACTTCTACATATGGCTGACTGGCCATATCTTTCCCGATAACCGAGTTATCTTATCATGACATCATAATTTTCTTCTTTCTCTTAGGAAATGCATCTATGAAATTACCTTAGTTGGCAAATAACTCAAATATTGATTTATCTTATGAAAGACAGCTAAACATGCTATTTTTCTATGGATGGTGGCATACTCAAAACAATGTCCATGAAGAAACATTCCTTGGGAAAACAATTTCATATGTTGGTTGGGAGCCATCTTCTAAGAAGCCTCGTGCATGTGGTCACTGAAGGAAGCTAAAAGAATGACAAGTGTTCTACTCAATGGAAGTAATAGCTCATGCACTACTAAAGTGCATAGCATAGGAACTAGGTATCTCAGACTCAGGAGTCAAATATAAACACAATATGATTTTGAACCAATTTAAAGTTACATGAAGCTTTTTGACCTGATTTCTCTTGCTTTGAAGTAGAGCCAAAATCACCAGATGAAAAGCTATGCTCCCGTGACCTGTGTGCAAATGAAGATGCCAAGCTGTTCTTAAGCATATCAGAACTTTCCATGGAAGTCATGGATGCAGGACAACTTCCGCAAGAGATAATAGATCGCTCATTGTTCTCGTTATCTTGAACAGCCAACAAAGGAACGGGCTTAGCGATAGAATAGACCACCCTATGTTCCACATTGTCCGTATCAGTAGTTGTATAAGGTCTCAAAACTTCCACAAACAAGTTATCATGAATTATTGCCACTTTGGAAGGTATATGTTTGAGGTAAAACCTCAAATCCCGCCTGAGGTGCCTGGAAAGAATTTTAACTTGTTTTCAAGACCAATGAAATATAAAGCAAAATGAAGAACATGTATACACACATCCACGCATGGTAACTCAGCTATGCACTGAATAATAATTATAGAAAGCATAAATATTGACCTTTACTGTATGACTCTTGTTTCTAAGAAATACATAATTGTGAGTGCAAATATGTCAACAAGGGCACAACTTAAGATTTAGCATCTTTGAGAATAATATTAACTTTGTAACTCAAATTTCGAATGGTTAGGATACTTCTTTCTTGATTGCAAATCTGTGAAGTTATGAATATGATTCTTTCTGATGCAGGAAGACCGACCACTGATCCTGAAAGCCAAAGCTCGTGGGAGGAGGATGCACATCAATCCCTTTATCCCCACCCTAGGGTTCCAATCAATCAGGGCGAGACCCATTTCAGCCTGGGGTGATGCTCAGTAAAGTGCACCTTTGATTTTCAATTGGCAAAAGTTGGTTCGAGCCGTTGTGACAAAGGTAAAGTCTTGCGAGATTCAATGGGAGATGAAAGCCATATTCAAGAGATGGTCGACTACTGGCTCGAAGGCACTTGTGTTACGGGGATCAGGATTTGTTGCAAGTACACAACTTACTGTGGAGTACAAAAATTCAAGGTGAAAATTCTACCGAGATAGTAGTTGTAAGCTGCGAAGCACCGACATTTCAAAATGGTTGTCATGTCCGTGTCAAATACGTATGGGACATTGATTGTGTGTCTACCACGTGGCATGTGAATTATTTTAATTTACTACTTTTTTGCAAGATACTTCACAGATATGTGTGCTTCTGTTTGGACATGTTTTTATAATTTTCGAAAGATGAGTTGGGATTGAAGTAAAATATATGAGGGGAGGGAAATGAGGGAGAGAGATGGGGGGAGGGAAATGAGAGAGAGAGAGAGGGGAAAGTGAAAAAAAAAATAAAAATATTCACATATACATTGATGCCTCTTATATGCACTAAAATTAAATTCATATACATAGCAAATAAAGATATATAAAAAATATTTTTTTCACCTTATCGGGTCCATGCTTCTTAGGTTGTAAGTATTCACATGAGTATTGTATTAATCTCATTGAATAGTAGTAGTAAGTCATTACTCTGGTCTTGTATTAATCTCATTGAATAGTTGATTACCTTCATCAAAAAAAATGCCCATAATTTTTCCCCTTTAGACGGTTTGCTCATAAAAATCAGTATGTTCAACTTGTGTTATTGTCTTGTTCAACACTTGCACAAAAACAAAATTTGAATTGGTTAGAAATGTTTAATGAATTGATAATACCTACTTTCTTTTCTTTTTTTTATAAAAAAAAAAATTGATAAAAAGGTATATGAACAAACACAAAAAAAGGACATGTCCTCTGCAAGAAACTAAAGATCCAGAAAAGCCCTAAATATCACAAACAGGAAACAGCTTTCCAATCTTTGGATAAAAGAAAAAATGGAGCCCTTTAAAGTAAGTAGAAGAAGCTGCCCAAATTGATGCCCAATGATACACTTTGTGCCCAATACATCAACTTCCTCAAAATTGTCCGAAAAAACCTTTGCATTCCTTTCTAACCAAATTCCCTAGAAAATGGAAAAAACGACACACCACCATAACACCTTTTGCTCTTTTCTTGCGTCCAAAACCTTGGAAATCAATTAAGAGGATATTAGCACATTCCCCCAAAGCCACCCAAAGCGTCGGACAAACAGAAAAGCCAGTGCCAAAGCTTCAATGCTCCAGAACAATGCAAAAAGAGATGGTTCAACAATTCACCATTCCTCCCACACTAATTCACCAGTATTGATTGACAGTATCTTTGTTGAGCCATTTCAACACCCCCTCTAAGCTAGATTATGTATCCATTATGCTTTTCATTCTTTGCTATATAACTTAAGCAAACATTTTCTTAAACAAAAAAGTGATAAAACAAAACCACCCAATTGAGTTAAGTTGCTATAACTATCCAAATAACCAGGAAACCAAAAATACCAACCTTGCAATGTGTTAGCATATCAAGACATTTGCAATTGAATCCTCAATTGAAGAACAGAAGAACCCGCGATATTACAACTTGCAGTTCATCACTAGGTCTAAGTAGTGTTACAAAGTGACAGAAAGAACAAAACAAACTTAACATTCATCAGTGGATGGCATGTTAAACATCCTAATTAATTGAAATTCGTAAACATAAGGGAACCAGAAAAAGAAAATTACCTATCAAGTACAACCCAAGTTGCATTACAAGCTGTAACCTCTTGTAAAACTACCTTCTTGGTTGGAGTTCCAGCAGTAATCATGACTTCAATGTCAACCTAAACAAGGAAATAATAATTGTAATGAAGATAAGGAACAAGATACAGTGTGCTCCTCTTAGATTAAATTAGTAACATAGCAACTAGCAGTTCTGTATACACTTATGTGAACATTGCATATCCCAAAAACACTGAGTTTCACTAATGTTTTCATTGACAATGTGAAAATAGTATATATACTATTGCAACTATTTCTTTTATAACTGATATGATATTTAAAGTACTACTAGCGCATGGTAGTCTTATTGGGCTTATTGTATAGTAAGAGAGAAGCTAATCAACCAGGTAGTAGGTACATTTTTAAGTAAAGCTTTATATAGGATAAAAGTAGGATTTGTCATGCAATTTTCCTTAAGAGAAGAAATAGGAAGAACCATCCATTGCGATCAATGCATTATGGCTTTCTGATGAAACCTATATTCAATTAAAGTTAAATCAAGTCAACAGTGCATTTATGGGTACTACTTCAGACAAGCAAGCATAACTTCGGCCGCTAGAATGACCTTTCAGTTATTTTGTGGTATAGGTACAACTTTCTCCATAGTTCTTCACAATATTATAGAAGCTCATCAATTTTTTTACAACACTTAGCTGACAGTTATATGTGTAGACTCACAACCTAAATTAATTAACCATCTTATGACAAGAAAGCAGTTGATAAAATATGTATCACCATAGTACCTCTAGGCCCTAATATTTATTGAAGTTTTATTGAATATCTTCATGCATTTTCCATTGTTCTCCTATGCGATGTATGCAATGAATACTAGTTACATCTGATTTGGTGTCGGGTTATATTTCACACTATCACACAAACCATTTTTTTTTTATAAAATTAAGGTTCTAAAAGATGCAACAATCACCGCATAAAAATCTAAAAGTATAGGTATGCTCTAAGCTTTGTAGTTATTTACAACAAGAATATCTCACACATGAAAGTCCACTGAATACAATTAGAATATAGCACATTCCTATCAACTCAGTAAAAGTCACAAACTTATGATTACTCTCGAATCACAGGTGCTTCACATTGCAAGGATTCTTGTGAAGTATTTCATCTTATGATATATACACAGCAAGAAGATAAAAACATTATAGCCCCCCTGCAAATGCAAAATCAACATATTTTTTTATCAATAAATAATGTTTGGTCTTTCAAAATAATCACCTCAATAGATTGTAATGCCTCTTTAATATATGGATTAGCTATTGCAAATATAAAGAACATTCATTACCCTTTCTTTTTTGCATTCTTCAGCACTTTGTTGGAGCATGTTCACATACATATCAGTCTTTTTTGAAACTTCGTCTTTCATTGCACTCATGTTTGTTCCCAAAAAAGAAATAGGGGATGCTTCCATTTGGTAACCCACTACACCAAAAATAACATAAAATAAGAAGATCAACTTTAGCCATTAAGATGAGCAAGAAAACAGGGCTTCCTATTTCTTTTAACCGTTCTCATGGTTGTTTGTACTAACTGTTGGTGGTACATGCACCTGCACCTGCACCTTTCAATTTCAAACTATTGAGTCTCGCAAATGATCCAAACTACTACCTAAACTATAACAGGCATAGAAACAAGGTACAAGAACTAAAAGTTTAAACTCTAACAGGCAATTGGCCAAACACTTACTGGGGTGTGGGAGCCTATGCAGAACTCCAAGCAGCATGAGTGTATCACCTCCATGAAGAATGTCACCTCTATATCGGATATTATCAACAGTGCGTTTAAGCTCTCTTTCATTGCGGTCCTTGGTGGCATCATAAGCAATAACAACACGACCGGGCATTAGAGGAAGAGGATTATTCTCCATGGACGACGACATTTCTTGAAAATCCACAACTGGGTAGTCTTGAATTCAAAGATGGGTATTGTTGAAGCAGTGGGTGATTATGATTATGATTATGATTATGATTATGATTATGAATGAGAAAATGCAGAAACGCAAATGGGTTGTTTATTGTAGAAAAAAAAGAGGGCATTGCGGCACGAGAGTGGAGAAAGAGAGCTCAACCAATGGTAATTTTGTAAAAGAGTTTGTAAAATGCTGTCACACCCTGTCTAGAACCCATGTTCTCGCTCTAGAACACTGTATAGTGAGAATGATTCGTGGGATATCTGTGATAATATGCTGAGGAATATACGCGGGAAAGCGAAGGCCGGCCTTGGTTGGAACACCGACAACCAGATGATTGCAAAGCGCATCAAGACAGAAAATGGTTCGTCAACTTCCTATGCTTCTCCGGAAACCTTTTTAGTTTGCATGATATATAATGGCTACACCAAAAATGTTTAACTCTGTACCTGTGCTGAAAATAAATAAATAATCCAAGGATCATGAGAAACATAAAACACAACTCTTTCTTGCACCTCTACAACACTACAACATCATCACCCTCCTGAATATTTTCAACAGATGTAAACTTGTTTCGGCTATTTTCTTTGCTTTTTTAAGAGTAAAATTATTGACACACACTAACACACTAATTCATGTCAGTACATACTTAACAAACACCTTCTCCATGCACACGTTATAAAAATATAAATTCTTAGTACACATTTATATATTCTAATATTATCTTCATTTTCATTTTTTTTAAATTTTTTTGAAAAAATTATAGATTAATTTGACAAAAATAAATCCCAAAAAAATATTATTTTAATTTTTAAATTTTTTGCCCCCTAGAAAGATAAAACCATATTGAAATGAGAAGTCTTTATTTATTTATTTTTGAAAACATATTCTAAAATTAGATTAAACATAACTTTTTTTTTTTTTTTTCCAATTTACCCTTTTTTCATTTACCCATTCCTCCTTTATTACCGTTGTCGCTACTTTCAACTTTCTATCGCCACCACAACCGCCACTTCTAGCTTATCTCCCTCCATCTTAGACCTTCACAGTCAACCTTGAGTGATTCGCGGAGGAAGATTTGTAGGAGTGTATGGTTTATGGTGGAAAATGATCGCTGGCGAAGAAGGAAAGACACGATGGGAGGGGATGGCGAATGAGAGAGATGACACTAGTGTTAGAAAATGGTCATGCTATTTTAGTATTAGAATTTGGATAGAAGAAGATGAGGGTATTATAGTATTTTTATTGTAGGACAAAACTATATTAATGAAAATTTTTATTAAGTGTGTGAACTGAGGAGAACTGGTGTGTGGAAATAGAATTCCCTCTTTTTTAAAGACCCGTAAATTTCATATACACTCCGCTTAAAATATAGATTGTCCTTATGGTTTGAAAAATTACAAATGGTTTCTTATCAGAATTTTTAATTTGACAGAATCAATTGAAAAAATAAAATTCATAATTGCTCTCCTATATAATGATAAAATTACTTGAATTATTAATTGAAATAAATTTCTGACATCATTAAACGTTGTTAATTGACTTAATAATTTAGTAATAAAAAATGTCATTTGTTATAAAATTGGAAACTCTAAGGGATGTGATATAATTTCTAGAATTGTAGAGGCAAATCGTATTTTAAACAAATCTCAAAAAGTATATTTATACCTTACCCTTTAAAGATTGATGATATGTTATGTCATTTATTATAATCGAAGTATTAACTATTAAAATATATATATATATATTTATAACCATACAGTACATAACGTATAATAAAAAATTGTTATATTATAATTAAAATAATGTCATAACTAATATCACAATAAGTTATAATTAAAGACACAAAAAATTGTAACTAGGGATACATATGATACACATGTAACACCTTCAATTAATTAACCCTTAGAGATCAATATTAAACCATTAATATAATGTAGTTTCTAGTTAATCACTTCAATTGTATGTAAACAAGACATATAACACTTCATCATTAATATCATTATCAAATCTCTATACTTCTATTCATGGTATACAATATGTTGTCACAATTACTCCCACATGCAACTAGAATATGAATTTATAGCATGTGGGCTAAGAATTTAACATAAAATAATATCTCATTGGTTGCAAGTTCCAAGGCCTATACCTAAATACACAAAAATTGTTATCAAAACCCATATGTGTCAAGCTCTTGGCTTGTCAAAATAAGACAACAAAAGAATAAGAGCCTTGTACTCTCAAAACACTTCTTACGCCTCTACTTCGGTAAGATCACCACATCTTTTTCTGCAACAAATCCACTAGGGGTGAGTATTAAGCCTAAAAGAAAACCTTAACAAAATATATACATTTTATACAATCTCAAGAGATGAATGCTTATATCATGCCGTACTCCAAGTACATTTCTTTCTGATTTGAAAATCTCATGCAGGATGCTTGTTCGAAAACATAAAAACATTTCAATGATTTCAATATATAATCAAGGGACGGTAAATGCGACTCAGGTAATTCCTAAGTTGTTATCTGCAAGTAGGCATATCAAACACTACCCAATCACCACTTTACTGGATCTTAACCTGAAGGAACTTGGTACTTATCGCGTGGGTTTCTAGACTTTCACCATGTACCTCAAGCCAACTTAATTCACAACTCTATACCTCCTATATGAATTTCCCAACGTATTTACCTACAAACAATTCAAAACGCACTACAAGAAAATGCAGAATTGGCGACCAAAATAAGTATTTTCGTCGCTGAAAGTAGTACCAATGGCGACTAAAATCAGTTTTGTCGCCAAACCTGAGCACTTTTGCCGACTAAAGCACTTTAGTCGCCGAATAGAGGCCTTTTAGCGACTAAAAGTCAGTTTAGTCGCCGAATATAGGAGTTTCAGCGACTGAAAAAAATTTTAGTAGCTAAAAGGCACGGTTTTTGGCGACTAAAAGCATTTAGTAGCCAAAAGTATAGGTTTTGGCGACTAAAAACTACTTTAGTCGCCGAATATAGGTGTTTTACCGACAAACAAATTTTTTGTAGCCAAAAGTAAAGGTTTTTGGCTACTAAAAAAAATTTAGTAGCTAAAAGTGGACAAATGGCGACTAAAACTGAGTTTAGTCGGCAAAAGTGGAGCTTTTGGCGACTGAAAATCAGTTTAGTCGCCGAAAGTTGTTTTTTTGGGCGGAAATTCTGCATTTAGCGACAAAACAGCATTTAGTAGCCAAAAAGCATAGAATTGGCGACTAAAATTCATATTTAGTCGCCAAAAGTGCTCCCCTATTTTTTTTTAGTAAATACTTTATTTTTTTCGTAAAATATATTAAATAAAAATAATTATTTATATATATATTGTTTTCTATTAATATTGGTCAATATATTATATAAATAATATATGTTGCAATTATATACATGTGATGTTCTTGTGGCGTAGTAGGTAGAGTGTTGGTAAAGGTTTACAGAGTTTGGGACGTTGGTTGTTCGAAACCTGGGAGTAGCAAAGGTTGAATTTTTTTTATTTGAAAAAGTGGAATTGAGTATTGGCGACTAAAAGTTTTGTCGCTGAAGACCTGACTTTTTGCCGACTAAAACGTTTTTAGTCGCCAAAACCTTGGGCGACCATTTATTGGCGACAACACTGGCGACAAAAAAAATCAGTCGGGGAAGGTATTAAAGTGACTTTTGGCGACTAAAAATGGACCTTTGGCGACTAAAAATTTAGTCGCCAAAGGTGATTTTTGTTGTAGTGACGATAGTTTGTTACGCATAAAATAATTTCTTTTTCACAGAGAAATTCCCACTCGAAAAGCAAAGGTGAATGAAATGAAATGATAATGCAATGTACTTATATCAATACATTGAAATCTATCAATTACCTCAACAATTCCCAATCTCAAAAACACAATCTCCAATTGTAAAGTGAAAATTCAGCTCACAAAGTGAAAATTCAGCTAACAAAAATCATCCTAGATGTCTAAGAAGTACAACAGTAAAAAATAACTGCAGATTTTAGATTATGTAATGTGATATTTTACAGCATTATAAAATTACACATTTTATATACTAAGCATTTGATAAACTTCCCCAAACACTTACAAAAAAAATGTACAATATAATTTTGATATTCGTCATAACATTTAATTTGGTTTTACCTTGTTTTCTTAACAGAGTAGTTACATAAGTTTTCAAGAGCTTCAATGACTGTTCTTGTCTACATTGACACTTCTCAAACACTCCCCGACACGACCTATATGGTGAATCTCTTCATAGGATCAATTTCTGGCATTCTTTGTAATACAACACACGTCCCAACATTTCTAAAAGTAATAAAATCAGTAAAGTATCAATAGACAATTTCTACAATAGAAAAGCTAAATAATAATAATAATAATTGAAATGCTTTAAGAAAGCAAGTACCTGGAGGATGCATTTATACTTGATATTTAGGTAAAAATATTCATATAATAAATTGAATTACTGTTACAAAAACTACTAATTAACTTACATATACTTTTCTTATATTATAATTTATATGCATACAAGATATATAAATATAGTAATATCTCTCAGTATCTTTATGTGTTTGTGTTCATGTCTAGTGTGTGTTCTTAGTTTAGTCCTACCCAAACTAATCACAAGATCCTATCTACTATGTAAGATTAGTTTGAGAGAGTGAGAGAAGCTATAGAGTGAGAGAGAGACTCTGAAATGTTTGTATTATGTTGTGTGATTTACAAAGAGATGAAGGCTCTCTTTATAGAGAGAGAAAGGGGCATTGGATACCACCATTATCACCGAAAGCAAACACTATACAATTAATAATATAAAGTTAAAGCTAGTCTATCATAAAGCTATACAAATAATAATGAAGTCTGCTAAAGCTATGCTAAAGCTATTCTAACAGCCCCCCGCAAACTCAAGGAGGGAAAGCATCAACCAAGTTGAGTTTGGAAACAAGATCATTGAAGCGGCCAGGAGGATGAGCCTTAGTGAAGATATCAGCGGGTTGATCGACGAAACGCAAATGGGTTGTTTATTGTAGAAAAAAAAGAGGGCATTGCGGCACGAGAGTGGAGAAAGAGAGCTCAACCAATGGTAATTTTGTAAAAGAGTTTGTAAAATGCTGTCACACCCTGTCTAGAACCCATGTTCTCGCTCTAGAACACTGTATAGTGAGAATGATTCGTGGGATATCTGTGATAATATGCTGAGGAATATACGCGGGAAAGCGAAGGCCGGCCTTGGTTGGAACACCGACAACCAGATGATTGCAAAGCGCATCAAGACAGAAAATGGTTCGTCAACTTCCTATGCTTCTCCGGAAACCTTTTTAGTTTGCATGATATATAATGGCTACACCAAAAATGTTTGACTCTGTACCTGTGCTGAAAATAAATAAATAATCCAAGGATCATGAGAAACATAAAACACAACTCTTTCTTGCACCTCTACAACACTACAACATCATCACCCTCCTGAATATTTTCAACAGTTGTAAACTTGTTTCGGCTATTTTCTTTGCTTTTTTAAGAGTAAAATTATTGACACACACTAACACACTAATTCATGTCAGTACATACTTAACAAACACCACACGTTATAAAAATATAAATTCTTAGTACACATTTATATATTCTAATATTATCTTCATTTTCAATTTTTTTAAATTTTTTTGAGAAAATTATAGATTAATTTGACAAAAATAAATCCCAAAAAAATATTATTTTAATTTTTAAATTTTTTGCCCCCTAGAAAGATAAAACCATATTGAAATGAGAAGTCTTTATTTATTTATTTTTGAAAACATATTCTAAAATTAGATTAAACATAACTTTTTTTTTTTTTTTTCCAATTTACCCACTCCTCCTTTATTACCGTTGTCACTACTTTCAACTCTCTATCGCCACCACAACCGCCACTTCTAGCTTATCTCCCTCCATCTTAGACTTTCACAGTCAACCTTGAGTGATTCGCGGTGAAAGATTTGTAGGAGTGTATAGTTTATGGCGGAAAATGATCGCTGGCAAAGAAGGAAAGAGACGATGGGAGGGGATGGCGAATGAGAGAGATGACACTAGTGTTAGAAAATGGTCATGCTATTTTAGTATTAGAATTTGGATAGAAGAAGATGAGGGTATTATAGTATTTTTATTGTAGGACAAAACTATATTAATGAAAATTTTCATTAAGTGTGTGAACTGAGGAGAATTGGTGTGTGGAAATAGAATTCCCTCTTTTTTAAAGACCCGTAAATTTCAAATACACTCCGCTTAAAATATAGATTGTCTTTATGGTTTGAAAAATTACAAATGCTTTCTTATCAGAATTTTTAATTTGACAGAATCAATTGAAAAAATAAAATTCATAATTGCTCTCCTATGTAATGATAAAATTACTTGAATTATTAATTGAAATAAATTTCTGACATCATTAAACGTTGTTAATTGACTTAATAATTTATTAATCAAAAATGTCATTTGTTATAAAATTGGAAACTCTAAGGGATGCGATATAATTTCTAGAATTGTAGAGGCAAATCGTATTTTAAACAAATCTCAAAAAGTATATTTATACCTTACCCTTTAAAGATTGATGATATGTTATGTCATTTATTATAATCGAAGTATTAACTATTAAAATATATATATATATATATATAACCATACAGTACATAACGTATAATAAAAAATTGTTATATTATAATTAAAAAAATGTCATTACTAATATCACAATAAGTTATAATTAAGGACACAAAAAATTGTAACTAGGGATACATATGATACACATGTAACGCCTTCAATTAATTAACCCTTAGAGATCAATATTAAACCATTAATATAATGTAGTTTCTAGTTAATCACTTCAATTGTATGTAAACAAGACACATAACACTTCATCATTAATATCATTATCAAATCTCTATACTTCTATTCATGGTATACAATATATTGTCACAATTACTCCCACATGCAACTAGAATATGAATTTATAGCATGTGGGCTAAGAATTTAACATAAAATAATATCTCATTGGTTGCAAGTTCCAAGGCCTATACCCAAATACACAAAAATTGTTATCAAAACCCATATATGTCAAGCTCTTGGCTTGTCAAAATAAGACAACAAAAGAATAAGAGCCTTGTACTCTCCAAACACTTCTTACGCCTCTACTTCGGCAAGATCACCACATTTTTTTCTGCAACAAATCCACTAGGGGTGAGTATTAAGCCTAAAAGAAAATCTTAACAAAATATATACATTTTATACAATCTCAAGAGATGAATGCTTATATCATGCTGTACTCCAAGTACATTTCTTTCTGATTTGAAAATCTCATGCAGGATGCTCGTTCGCAAACATAAAAACATTTCAATGATTTCAATATAAAATCAAGGGACGGTAAATGCGATTCAGGTAATCCCTAAGCTGTTATCTGCAAGTAGGCATATCAAACGCTACCCAATCACCACTTTACTGGATCTTATCCTGAAGGAACTTGGTACTTGTCGCGTGGGTTTCTAGACTTTCACCATGTACCTCAAGCCAACTTAATTCACAACTCTATACCTCCTATATGAATTTCCCAACGTATTTACCTACAAACAATTCAAAACGATAGTTTGTTACGCATAAAATAATTTCTTTTTCACAGAGAAATTCCCACTCGAAGAGCAAAGGTGAATGAAATGAAATGATAATGCAATGTACATATATCAATACATTGAAATCTATCAATTACCTCAATAATTCCCAATCTCAAAAACACAATCTCCAATTGTAAAGTGAAAATTCAGCTCACAAAGTGAAAATTCAGCTAACAAAAATCATCCTAGATGTCTAAGAAGTACAACAGTAAAAAATAACTGCAGTTTTTAGATTATGTAATGTGATATTTTACAGCATTATAAAATTACACATTTTATATAATAAGCATTTGATAAACTTCCCCAAACACTTACAAAAAAAATGTACAATATAATTTTGATATTCATCACAACATTTAATTTGGTTTTACCTTGTTTTCTTAACAGAGTAGTTACATAAGTTTTCAAGAGCTTCAATGACTGTTCTTGTCTACATTGACACTTCTCAAACAATCCCCGACATGACCTATATGGTGAATCTCTTCATAGGAACAATTTCTGGCATTCTTTGTAATACAACACACGTCCCAACATTTCTAAAAGTAATAAAATCAGTAATGTATCAATAGACAATTTCTAAAATAGAAAAGCTAAATAATAATAATAATAATTGAAATGCTTTAAGAAAGCAAGTACCTGGAGGATGCATTTATACTTGATATTTCGGAGCTTCATTTTTCACATTTTGATATTTAGGTAAAAATATTCATATAATAAATTGAATTACTGTTACAAAAACTACTAATTAACTTACATATACTTTTCTTATATTATAATTTATATGCATACAAGATATATATAAATATAGTAATATCTCTCAGTATCTTTATGTGTTTGTGTTCATGTCTAGTGTGTGTTCTTAGTTTATGTTAGAATTTACCTACACCTACCACCACCTACTACCACACCTACTACACTTACCACCAATTTACCCTCACCTACTCCTCACCTACTACCCAAATCCTCTTCTATATAATAGGAATCCTTGTAATATCAATAACACACAATATCAATATATCAATCAATAAATACATCAATTTATCGCAAACTCAAGGAGGATAGAAACTAACCAACTTGAGTTTGAAGAGAGGAACAAAACAAGAAAATACATAAAAATAAAAAAGGATAGGAGACACTGTATGGTCGTGTCAGACCGTTGGTGAAGACACTGAAAGGGGTGTCATAGGCACTCCCGACCTTAATTCTTCTATATGCCCTCACTCCCCAGCCCCCACACCTACTTCTATTTCATGCAAGTAAGGGTTATACGGAACCCAATGGGATGCCTTGTGGCTTGAGAAACGTTATTGGATCATTATATGTGGTTCTGTTTAGGTCTAGAATAGTCTCGTTGTCAAAGAGTAAGAGTTTCCTAATCTTTTAAGTTATAGTCCTAGTAAAATTAGGAGAACAAACAACCTATAAGCACACCTGTAATCTTGCTATTCAATAGAGTTGTTTTTTGAAGAATTTGCAAGGAGCTTTTGAAGCTTTGTGCTGATGCTTTGTGCAACCTTACCTTGGGGGTTATTCCTAGGGAAATCATGGTAGAATTCCCTGTGCGCCTTTCTCTTTTTCTATTCCATGAAGAACTATTCCTGAGTAATTCACAGCCCCCAAAAAGTCACTTCTTTTATTTTTCAAATTGATTCCCAATCAACTTTGAGCCTTTACATTCACACCAAACTATAGATCACCCCCCAAAATAAATAAATAAATTCTAGAGAATTCCTTCGACTAATTCTAAAAACCCCACAATTGCCTTGTAAAAAACCAAACCAAAGTCTACTCATATTCCTTCACAAAGATAAATTATTTCTCCCTACAGAGGCCTTGTTTGGTAGGGCTTATTTCCAGCTTATTTTAGCTTTTAGCTTAATTTAAGCCATTTTGATGTATTTGGTTCAGCTTAACAATACAGCTTATAACTTTTTGTAAGTAAAAAACCAACTTATTCTTTGAGTGGGGGAGGAGAAGCTTAATTTATAAGTCAAAAATCAGCTTATGTTCACAGCTATAAGCTATAAGCTGTTAGGCTATAAGTTATAATCACTTTCCCACAGCTCTACCAAACGGGGCCAGAACCCTATACTAGAAGTTTTCCATAGCCAAAAATCACCTCAATTCCTACCATAAGCAACTTTTGGCTCTAGTTTCCTAATCTATCCTACATAAAGATTTCAACTACAAGGCCAAAATTCAACTACATATACTAAGCACTACCATATCAATAAGCTAACATTCACTGCTATATCTTCATTAATAAAACTGATGCAGATCATGAAGGTTTAGGATAATCAAGCAATTAGGACAATCAAACAAGGCTATTAAGGTTAGGAAAGTTAGTGTTCAGGGGTTAAACAGTTAAACCTATGCCATGAGTGGTAACTCACAAACAGATTCATGTCTATCACGTTTTCTCTTATTGCTAGGATTAAATTCTATCAGTCGAGAGAGGACTGCACTTCTCAAAATAAAATTTTCTAAGCTTAAGAGAGTAATTATATCGCATTGCAGATTATTATGAGCATAAACAAATTAAAGAGAGGAAATGAATAAAATAGTCCAGAAATCACCTACTACAACCCCTTGAGCATCACCATACAAGACTGAAAAATATAATTTTGGAGTAAAATTAGATGCTATGATTTCAATAAGCTTAACAATCTCTTGACAATGTAGAACAGGTAGGTTCTCCATGGGCCACTGGCAATTAGAGTTGCTAAACTTGTCATAAATTATAAAAGAACAGAGCACTATTACATGAAAGTGTGCATCCACAAGATTAGCACCTGTGGTCAAGTAACAGAATTAGACTTTTGTATGAAAAACAAACGCTTTGTGTAGACAATGACAAGAGTTAGGTAGTCAATGGTTAAACCTTATGCAGCTCCTGCTGTGATCAAGCAAGAGACAGATTTGAGTATGAACAACAGCCTCTTTGTGTAGATAATGTGCCTGTTTGGCAGAAATTATTTACAGCTTATTTCAGCTTTCAGCTTAATTTAAGCTATTTTAATGTGTTTGGTTTAGCTTATAGCTTATAGCTTATAGCTTTGTGGAAGTCAGAAATCAACTTATTCTTTGAGTGGGGCAGGAGATGCTTTAAGAATAAGCTGGAAATCAGCTTAAGCTGAAAGTTATAAGTTGTGTGATTAAAAAACCACGGGCAACAACCACAAAACAATCCACTAAGGACTGGTTTTTTTTTTTTTTTTTTTTTTTGCTGGTGGTGGTCATTGGGAGGAAGCGAGAGAGGAGAAATTTGTAGATTGATGAGAGGAGGTTTCAATTGACATGTGTGAAAGCCAGTTGAATTGATTGTCTTGTAGCACAAAGGTACCTCTATGATTGGTCTTTAAATTGTCTATCTGCTCCTTGAAGAGCTCAGTCCAGAAATCCTTGCAGATGAACTTGATTGCCTCTAGATGATCACTGAACCGTGGCCGGTCCATCGTATACCTTTCAGAGAGCTGGTGGCCGACGTGATAGCCAATAGCTTCGATCCTTCGAGCAGCGAGCTCTGGCTTGTTGGCGTACAAGTGATTGCAGTAAGAAGAGACTATCTCTGTCATCAGACTCTCTACACAGCTCACTGAAGCAGAGCTTGTAGCACATGAAGCTTGTGTGTTGGCAGTGGTTGACTCATGGCGACCCATGGTGACTTGTCAAGATTGATTGCGGTTGGAGATGATGGACCAGAAGGTAATGGAGTTGATGGAGGTTTCAATAAGCATGGTTAGGGTCCGGCGGGCGGTGAAGGCAAGGTTGCCGCCCGCCGGAAGGTGAAGATCACCAAGAGCTAACCTTGCTCTGATACCATGTTACAATTGATAAATTGATGTATTTATTGATTGATATATTGATATTGTGTGTTATTGATATTACAAGGATTCCTATTATATAGAAGAGGATTTGGGTAGTAGGTGAGGAGTAGGTGAGGGTAAATTGGTGGTAGGTGTAGTAGGTGTGGTAGTAGGTGGTGGTAGGTGTAGGTAAATTCTAACAGTTTAGTCCTACCCAAACTAATCATAAGATCCTATCTACTATATGCATGACAACTTGCAGTCAATTATCCAACTGGGGTACCCCCGCCATGTCTTTTTTCCCTAAAATTTGTTATGTTGACGGCAGGCATCATTTATGAATCAAGACTCAGATTCAGTTCACTTCACTTAAAAGTTCCCATGTTTGGCGCCTCCTGTTTATATTGGATATCAACACCCAATTGAGGTCCTTACTTTCTAGATGTTAAAATCACTACAAAAAAAATCTTTCTACAGCTAGACAATGAATCTATACAAAAGTCAATGTCGTATTATAACTAATCAGGTACGGATGACAATGTTATAATTTTCACTTCTACATATGGCTGACTGGCCATATCTTTCCCAATAACCAAGTTATCTTATCATGACATCATAATTTTCTTCTTTCTCTTAGGAAATGCATCTATGAAATTACCTTAGTTGGCAAATAACTCAAATATTGGTTTATCTTATGAAAGACAGCTAACCATGCTAGTTTTCTATGGATGGTAGCATACTCAAAACAATGTCCATCCATGAACAAACATTCCTTGGGAAAACAATTTCATCTGTTGGTTGGGAGCCATCTTCTAAGAAGCCTTGTGCATGTGGTCACTGAAGGAAGCTAAAAGAATGACAAGTGTTCTACTCAATGGAGGTAATAGCTCATGCACTACTAAAGTGCATAGCATAGGAACTAGGTATTTCAGACTCAGGCGTCAAATATAAACACAATATGATTTTGAACCAATTTAAAGTTGCAAGAAGCTTTTTGACCTGATTTCTCTTGCTTTGAAGTAGAGCCAAAATCACCAGATGAAAAGCTATGCTCCCGTGACCTGTGTGCAAATGAAGATGCCAAGCTGTTCTTAAGCATATCAGAACTTTCCATGGAAGAAATGGATGCAGGAAAACTTCTGCAAGAGATAATAGATTGCTCATTGTTCTCATTTTCTTGAACAGCCAACAGAGGAACGGGCTTAGAGATAGAATAGACCACCCTATGTTCCACATTGTCCGAATCAGTAGTAGTATAAGGTCTCAAAACTTTCACAAACAAGTTATCATGAATTATTGCCACTTTGGAAGGTATCTGTTTGAGGTAAAACCTCAAATCCCTCCTGAGGTGCCTGGAAAGAATTTTAACTTGTTTTCAAGACCAGTGAAATATAAAACAAAATGAAGAACATGTATACACACATCCACACATGGTAACTCAGCTATGCACTGAATAATAATTATAGAAAGCATAAATATTGACCTTGACTGTATGACTCTTGTTTCTAAGAAATACATAATTGTGAGTGCAAATATGTCAACAAGGGCACAACTTAAGATTTAGCATCTTTGAGAATAATATTAACTTTGTAACTCAAATTTCGAATGGTTAGGATACTTCTTTCTTGAATTGCAAATCTGTGAAGTTATGAATATGATTCTTTCTGATGCAGGAAGACCGACCACTGATCCTGAAAGTCAAAGCTCGTGGGAGGAGGATGCACACCAATCCCTTTATCCCCACCCTAGGGTTCCAATCAATCAGGGCGAGACCCACTTCAGCTTGGGGTGATGCTCAGTAAAGTGCACCATTGATTTTCAATTGGTAAAAGTTGGTTTGAGCCATTGTGACAAAGCTAAAGTCTTGCTAGATTCAATGGGAGATGAAAGCCATATTCAAGAGATGGTCGACTACTGGCTCGAAGGCGCTTGTGTTACGGGAATCAGGATTTGTTGCAAGTACACAACTTACTGTGGAGTACAAAAATTCAAGGTGAAAATTCTACCAAGATAGTAATTGTAAGCTACAAAGCACCGACACTTCAAAATGGTTGTTATGTCCGTGTCAAATATGTATGGAACATTGATACTCTGAGGACATGTGTGTCTACCACGTGGCATGTCAATTATTTTAATTTACTACTTTCTTGCAAGATACTTCACAGATATGTGTGCCGCTGTTTGGACATGCCTCAAGACACCTTTGTGAGTTTCTTTTTTATAATTTTCGAAAGATGAGTTGGGGTCGAAGTAAAATATATGGGGGAAGGGAAATGAGAGAGAGAGAGAGAGAGAGAGGAAAGTGAAAAAAAAAAAAAAAACTCACATATACATTGATGCCTTTTATATGCACTAAAATTAAATTCATATACATAGCAAATAAAGATATATAAAAAATATTTTTTTCACCTTATCGGGTCCATGCTTCTTAGGTTATAAGTATTCACTTGAGTATTGCATTAATCTCGTTGAATAGTGGTTGTAAGTCATTACTCTGGTCTTGTATTAATCTCATTGACTAGTGGATTACCTTCATCAAAAAAAATGCCCATGATTTTTCCCCTTTAGACGGTTTCCTCATAAAAATCGGTATGTTCAACTTGTGGATGTTATACTTGTGTTATTGTCTTGTTCAACACTTGCACAAAAACAAAATTTGAATTGGGCAGAAAAGTTTAATTAATTGATAATACCTACTTTCTTTTTCTTTCTTTCTTTTTTTTTTTTTTTTTTTAAAAAAAAAGAAGCAATAAAAGACAATTTTGTTGATAAAAAGGTATGAACAAACACAAAAAAAAGGACATGTCCTCTACAAGAAACTAAAGATCCAGAAAAGCCCTAAATATCACAAACAGGAAACAGCTTTCCAATCTTTGGATAAAAGAAAAAATGGAGCCCTTTAAAGGAAGTAGAAGAAGCTGCCCAAATTGATGGCTAATGACACACTTTGTGCCCAATACATCAACTTCCTCAAAATTGTCTGAAAAAACCTTTGCATTCCTTTCTAACCAAATTCCCTAGAAAATGGAAAAAAACGACACACCACCATAACACCTTTTGCTCTTTTCTTGCGGCCAAAACCTTGGAAATCAATTAAGAAGATATTAGCACATTCCCCCAGAGCCACCCAAAGAGTCGGACGAACAGAAAAGCTAGTGCTAAAGGTTCGATGCAACAGAACAATGCAAAAAGAGATGGTTCACCAATTCACCATTCCTCCCACACTAATTCACCAGTATTGATTGACAGTATCTTTGTTGAGCCATTTCAACACCCCCTCTAAGCTAGATTATGTATCCATTATGCTTTTTCATTCTTTGCTTTATAACTTTAGCAAACATTTTCTTAAACAAAAGAGTGATAAAACAAAACCACCCAATTGAGTTAAGTTGCTATAACTATCCAAATAACCAGGAAACCAAAAATACTTACGTTGCAATGTGTTAGCATATCAAGACATTTGCAATTGAATCCTCAATTAAAGAGCAGAAGAACACGCAATATTACAACTTGCAGTTCACCACTAGGTCTAAGTAGTGTTACAAAGTGACAGAAAGAACAAAACAAACTTAAAATTCATCAGTGGATGGCATGTTAAACATCCTAATTAATTGAAATTCATAAACATAAAGGAACTAGAAAAAGAAAATTACCTATCGAGTACAACCCAAGTTGCATTACAAGCTGTAACCTCTTGTAAAACTACCTTCTTGGTTGGAGTTCCAGCAGTAATCATGACTTCAATGTCAACCTAAACAAGGAAATAATAATTGTAATGAAGATAAGGAACAAGATACAGTGTGCTCCTCTTAGATTAAATTAGTAACATAGCAACTAGCAGTTCTGTATACACTTATGTGAACATTGCATATCCCAAAAACACTGAGGTTCACTAATGTTTTCATTGACAATGTGAAAATAGTATATATACTACTGCAACTGTTTCTTTTATAACTGATACGATATTTAAAGTACTACTAGCGCATAGTAGTCTTATTGGGCTTATTATATAGTAAGAGAGAAGGTAATCAACCAGGTAGTAGGTACATTTTTAAGCAAAGCTTTATATAGGATAAAAGTAGGATTTGTCATGCAATTTTCCTTAAGAGAAGAAATGGGAAGAACCATCCATTGCGATCAATGCATTATGGCCTTCTGATGAAACCTATATTCAATTAAAGTTAAATCAAGTCAACAGTGCATTTATGGGTACTACTTCAGACAAGCAAGCATAACTTCGGCAGCTAGAATGACCTTTCAGTTATTTTGTGGTATAGGTACAACTTTCTCCATAGTTCTTCACAATATTATAGAAGCTCATCAATTTTTTTACGACACTTAGCTGACAGTTATATGTGTAGACTCACAACCTAAATTAATTAACCATCTTATGACAAGAAAGCAGTTGATAAAATATGTATCACCATAGTACCTCTAGGCCCTAATATTTATTGAAGTTTTATTGAATATCTTCATGCATTTTCCATTGTTCTCCTATGCGATGTATGCAATGAATACTAGTTACATCTGATTTGGTGTCGGGTTATATTTCACACTATCATACAAACCATTTTTTTTTTTTTATAAAATTAAGGTTCTAAAAGATGCAACAATCACCGCATAAAAATCTAAAAGTATAGGTATGCTCTAAGCTTTGTATTTATTTACAACAAGAATATCTCACACTTGAAAGTCCACTGAATACAATTAGAATATAGCACATTCCTATCAACTCAGTAAAAGTCACAGACTTATGATTACTCTCGAATCACAGGTGCTTCACATTGCAAAGATTCTTGTGAAGTATTTCATCTTATGATATATACACAGCAAAGAAGATAAAAACATTATAGCCCCCCTGCAAATGCAAAATCAACATATTTTTTTATCAATAATTAATATTTGGTCTTCCAAAATAATCACCTCAATAGATTGTAATGCCTCTTAAATATGTGGATCAGCTATTGCAAATATAAAGAACATGCATTACCCTTTCATTTTTGCGTTCTTCAGCACTTTGTTGGAGCATGTTCACATACATATCAGTCTTTTTTGAAACTTCATCTTTCATCGCACTCATGTTTGTTCCCAAAAAAGAAACAGGGGATGCTTCCATTTGGTAACCCACTACACCAAAAATAACATAAAATAAGAAGATCAACTTTAGCCATTAAGATGACCAAGAAAACAGGACTTCCTATTTCTTTTAACCGTTCTCATGGTTGCTTGTACCAACTGTTGGTGGTACATGCACCTGCACCTTTCAATTTCAAACTATTGAGTCTCGCAAATGATCCAAACTACTACCTAAACTATAATGGGCATAGAAAGAAGGTACAAGAACTAAAAGTTTAAACTCTAACAGGCAATTGGCCAAACACTTACTGGGGTGTGGGAGCCTGTGCAGAACTCCAAGCAGCATGAGTGTATCACCTTCATGAAGAATGTCACCTCTATATCGGATATTATCAACAGTGCGTTTAAGCTCTCTTTCATTGCGGTCCTTGGTAGCATCATAAGCAATAACAACACGACCGGGCATTAGAGGAAGAGGATTATTCTCCATGGACGACGACATTTCTTGAAAATCCACAACTGGGTAGTCTTGAATTCAAAGGTGGGTATTGTTGAAGCAGTGGGTGATTATGATTATGATTATGATTATGATTATGAATGAGAAAATGCAGAAACGCAAATGGGTTGTTTATTGTAGAAAAAAAAGAGGGCATTGCGGCACGAGAGTGAAGAAAGAGAGCTCATCCAATGGTAATTATGTAAAAGAGTTTGTAAAATGCTGTCACACCCTCTCTAGAACCCTTGTTCTCGCTCTAGAACACTGTATAGTGAGAATGATTCGTGGGATATCTGTGATAATATGCTGAGGAATATACGCGGGAAAGCGAAGGCCGGCCTTGGTTGGAACACTGACAACCAGTTGATTGCAAAGCGCATCAAGACAGAAAATGGTTCGTCAACTTCGTATGCTTCTCCGGAAACCTTTTTAGTTTGCTTGATATATAATGGCTACACCAAAAATGTTTGACTCTGTACCTGTGCTGAAAATAAATAAATAATCCAAGGATCATGAGAAACATAAAACACAACTCTTTCTTGCACCTCTACAACACTACAACATCATCACCGTCCTGAATATTTTCAACAGAAGTAAACTTGTTTCGGCTATTCTTTTTTGCTTTTCTAAGGGTAATTTTATTTTCAAACACTAACACACTAATTCATCTCAGTACATACTTAACAAACACCTTCTCAATGCATACCTTATAAAAATATAAGTTCTTAGTACACATTTTTATATTCTAATATTACCCTCATTTTCAATTTTAAAATGCCAAACTATGTTTAGTTTTTTTTTTTTTTTGATCGGCAAAGAAAATCTTTATTGATGGAACCAAAAAGGTAAAAAGATTACATCAATAAAGAGGAGCTTGGGGCTTTTAGCCCCAAGCGCCAGTTAGCAAGAAACCAACAAGTAAGAGGAAGAAAGGGATAACAACCGAAGCAAAACACCCAGAGAAAAAACACAGCAGCAGCCAATGTGCTGTCCAGAAATTAAAACATAGCAGCAGCTTCAGTTGAGTGGCTTTGTTTTCCAAAAGCATGGAGATCACACAGAAGTTATAACCCGTAACTTGAACAATAAACCAGCCCAACTCACCCACAGACCAGGCAATTCAGAGCAGAACAAACCAGAAAAGGCAGCAGACCAAAACAGAAGCAGAGGAATTCAGCAGCAACTCGCCCACAGAAGTTATAACCCATAACTTAAAACATAAACCAGCCCAACTCACCCACAGACCAGGCAATTCAGAGCAGAACAAACCAGAAAAGGCAGTAGACCAAAACAGAAGCAGAGGAATTCAGCAGCAACTCGCCCACAAACTCAGATGAGGCTTCTAACAGACCAGATAAGGCAGATAAACTCCTCAATTAAAGATTCCTCAATTAAAGCTTCTAACAAACTCCTCAATTAAATCACACCAACCAAACTCACCCAAAACAGCACTAGAACAGACCAGATAAGCTGAACAGAAGACTCAGACGAAGCTCCTAATATTCCTCCAATTGCAAACTAGATCTGAAACTGAGAAGGGGAAGTCCTTGATAGAGGCCTTAAGCCAATGGGCTAACCTGATTTTGATTAGTTCCCACAGATCCACTGAGTTAGGATGGGCATTAGAGAATACACAATCATTTCTATGCTTCCAAAGAGACTAGAGGACAACAAAAGGAATGGCTCTCCAAATTTTGGCAATAAAGCCCCTAAGCTTCCTACTTAACCACCAGTTAAATAAGTCTGCTACAGAGTATGGGATGCACCATTGGATCCCCCAGCCAGATAACACAGCAGACCAAATGGACCAAGAGAAAGGACAATGAAGTAAAGCATGATTGGCAGATTCAGGGGTAGATTTGCAGAAGATGCAATAAGATGATGTGTTGGAGCCTAGGATGCCAAGGTTGTGAAGGAACACTGCAGTTTTAACTCTGTTTTTCCAGGCTAGCCATCCAAAGAAAAGGACTTTGGGGGGTAAGGGGTTGCACCAAATAAATTTGGTTATGGTGAGATCAGGCCCCAGGAGAGATGTGCTAAATGAATAAAGAGAAAAGGCAGAGAAAGGACCTGAACCAGCTGTAGCAGGGTTCCAGACCAAACAATAAACACATCCAGTGGTTAAAGAGGGAGCAGAGGCCAACAAGCTAAGCAGTCGAGAAACATCAGGCAGTTCCCAAGTATACAAGGCTCTTCTGAAGTTGCAGTTCCAATCAGTACCATTGGTTTTCCTTGCAAGGAATTGTTGAAGAGAACCTTTCTTATCAACAGAAAGGTTGAAAAGGGGTGGAAATTCATCCTTGAGGCAAGTTGATCCACACCACTTATCGTACCAAAATCTAATTCTACAGCCATTCCCCACCTTGATTTGGCAGCTTAGGAGGAAAAAGTTAAAGATATTAGTACTATGCTCCCCAATGAAATGAATGTCCCTCCACACCCTAGAGAGTTTGTAGGAGGATATCACAGGAGGATGCCAACAATTTACCTCGATCTTGTATTTACTACAAATGATTCTCCTCCAAAGTGCATTAGTTTGAGTGCCAAATTTCCACCACCATTTGATAAGCAAGCAAGCATTGGCATCCTTGATTCTCCTGATGCCTAGGCCCCATTGAGCAACACTCTTGGTTACATCTAACCAATTCACTAGGTGAATTTTCCTTTTGAGCCCATCACCACCCCACAGAAAGGCAGCTTCAATCTTCTCTACTTCACGGGCTACACCGTCAGGCATCTTGAAGAGAGAAAGGTAGTACACGGGTAGACAGGATAGGACAGATTTGATGAGGGTTAGTCTTCTAGCAAAGGACAACATTTTCCTCATCCAACCTGATAGTCTTGCTCTAATAGTGTCTAGGACAGGTTTCCAAGTAGATTTGCTACCTGGGTTGGAACCTAATGGCAGCCCAAGAAATTTCAAAGGCAATGAGAGCACCTTACAATTCAAGCAGCTTGCAAAGTTTTGGAGTGACTCTTCAACCACACCTACTCCACAAACCACACTTTTGAGGTAATTAATTCTGAGCCCGGATAGAACTTCAAAGCATCGAAGCACTCTTTTGATGATAACCACTTGATCCATATCTGCTTCACAGAAGAGAATAGAATCATCCGCAAACTGGAGATGTGATACAAGGACCTCACTAGCCCCAACCAGGACACCTTTAAGGAAGCCAAGATTAATAGCTCTGGTGAGAAGGATATTGAGCCCTTCAGCCACTATGTTGAATAGGAGCGATGATAATGGGTCGCCTTGCCTAAGGCCTCTTTGCGGAGAGAACTCATTAGTTGGAGATCCATTGACAAGAACGGAGATACGGGCTGAAGACACACAAGTTTTTATCCAGGAGATCCACTTAGAACCAAATCCAAAGCTTGACAGCATAGAGAACAAGAATTCCCAGTTGACTGAATCAAAGGCTTTCTCAAAGTCCAGCTTGATGATTAACCCTTGCCTCTTGGCCTTCTTCCATCCATCAACAACCTCATTAGCGATAAACACCCCATCTAGGATGTTCTTGCCACCTATAAAAGCTGTCTGGGTCTCACCTATGATTGAAGGCATCACAGGCTTTAGCCTCTGCACTAAAACTTTTGCTAAAATTTTGTATAGAGAGCCCACCAAGCTAATGGGCCTATAGTCAGTCAGATGAATAGGACTATCTAGCTTGGGAATGAGGGTAATGAAAGAGCTGTTGATACCATAGGTAAGCTTGCTATGCTTGTGAAAGTCATTAAAGAATAGCATGATCTCATGCTTCATAACTTTCCAGAATTTCTGATAGCATAATAGATTAAACCCATCCGGGCTTGGAGCTTTGTTGCCATTGCTCTCTTTAATGGCTGCCCAAACTTCTGCTTCAGTGAAATTAGGTATCAAACACTGAGATACCAGACTATCCTCAATTACTTTGAATTCCCCACCCAAGGCAGGCCTGTTAATCCAAAATTCCTGGAAGTGGTTCTTGACATGGCTGAACACCTCATGTTTGACCCTACTAGGTTCTTCATGAGAAACACCATTGGCTGAGATAGAATTGATCATGTTTCTACTTTGACGGGAACTTACAATTATTTGAAAAAACCTAGTATTTTTATCCCCTTTAAGAGCCCAATTCAGTCTGGACTGTTGATGCCATAGCCATTCCACCCTTCTATAGAGCTTCCACACTTCACCTCTGACTCTTCTTCTTCTAGCCTTTTCAGAATGTAGCAATTCTCTTCCTTCCGCAGTGATGTCAAGGTCATGCAATTCCTCCTCTGAAGCCTTAAGTTTGGTTGAAACATTTCCGAACACTTCGGTATTCCATTTCTTTAGTTCCAGCTTTAAGTGTTTTAGTTTTTGTTGGAGTATAAACCCAGCGCAACCCACAAAACTGGAATTCCCCCAGCAGGTAGTAAATAGTTGTGCAAATTTGGGATGCAAAGTCCACGCATTGATAAACCTGAAAGGTTTGGGGCCCCAATCTCTTTCATCTTCCATCATTAAGAGGGGACAATGATCAGATATGAGGCGAGGCAGCCCCCAAAGTTTTAGTTTGAAGTGAATTAACCACTCAGGACTCAACAACACCCTGTCAATTCTGCTCCAATTATGAGTTTCTTGAGTATTGCACCAAGTATATTTCCTACCAGGAAGAGGAAGGTCATTTAATTCTGCAGAATCTATGAATTCATTGAGCTATTGCATGCCTCTGTCTCTTCTGGAGCAGCCTACTCTCTCACCCAAATGTCTTATTTCATTAAAATCACCCCCCATGCACCAAGGGTTGGAAAAGTAGACCTTCAGATTAAGTAAAGTGTTCCAAAAAGAGGATCTACTGCTGACATCATTAGGAGCATAAATATTAAGTAGGACACAATGAAAGGAGTTATATAATGTACCTAAAAGTAGGATAAACCTCCTGTTGCAGCAGCTACCAGATAATTGGAAAACATCTGGGTCCCACATACATAAGAGCCCTCCTGCAGTACCTTCTGGATCTACAGATAGGAACTCCATTTTCCTTCGAGCCCAAAGCCCTCTGGCTAAATTGTCAGATACCACCAACTTCTTTGTTTCTTGAAGGAATACAATATCAATGTGCCTATCTTTTAGTAGCCTTTTGATTCTTCCCCTCTTCTCAGGCTTGCCAATCCCTCTCAATGTTTGAATCAATTTTGTGAAATTTTTTTGAGAAAATTATAGATTAATTTGACAAAAATAAATACCAAAAGAATATTATTTTAATTTTTAAATTTTTTTCCCCCTAGAAAGGTAAAACCATATTGAAATGAGAAGTCTTTATTTATTTATTTTTGAAAACATATTCTAAAATTAGATTAAACATAATCTTTTTTTTTTTTCATTTACGTTGTGTTTGGTTGGGGGATTTGCGGAGGGAATTGGAAAGGGAAAGGAAAAACTAAAGTGAAATGTGAATAAAATATACTTACATTTCACCTAGTTTCACACACCTTTTTCCTTTCCCTTTCCCTTTCCAAATCCTTCCCCAAATCCCCCAACCAAACACAGCATTACCCACTCCTTCTTTATTACCGTTGCCGTTACTTTCAACCCTCTATCGCCATCACCACCGCCACTTCTAGCTTATCTCCCTCCATCTTAGACATTCACAGTCAACCTTGAGTGATTCGCGGCGGAAGATTTGTAGGAGTGTATGGTTTATGATGGAAAATGATCGCTGGTGAAGAAGGAAAGAGACGATGGGAGAGGATGGTGAATGAGAGAGATGGCACTAGCGTTAGAAAATGGTTGCGCTATTTTAGAATTAGAATTTGGGTAAAAGAAGATGAGGGTATTATAGTATTTTTATTCTAGGACAAAAGTGTATTAATGAAAATTTTCATTAAGTGTGTGAACTGAGGAGAATTGGTGTGTGGAAATAGAATTCCCTCTATTTTAAAGATCGGTAAATTACAAATACACTCCGCTTAAAATATAGATTGTCCTTACGGTTTGAAGAATTACAAATGCTTTCTTATCAGTATTTTTAATTTGACAGAATCAATTGAAAAAATAAAATTCCTAACTACTCTCCTATATAATGATAAAATTACTTGAATTATTAATTGAAATAAATTTCTGACATCATTAAACGTTGTTAATTGACTTAATAATTTATTAATAAAAAATGTCATTTGTTATAAAATTGGAAACTCTAAGGGATGTGATATAATTTCCAGAATTGTAGGGGCAAATCGTATTTTAAACAAATCTCAAAAAGTGTATTTATACCTTACCCTTTAAAGATTGATGATATGTTATGTCATTTAGTATAATCAATGTATTAACTATTGAAGTATTAACTATTAAAATATATATATATATATATATAACCATACAGTACATAACGTATAATAAAAAATTGTTATATTATAATTAAAATAATGTCATAACTAATATCACAATAAGTTATAATTAAAGACGCAAAAAATTGTAACTAGGGATACATATGATACACATGTAACACCTTCAATTAATTAACTCTTAGAGATCAACATTAAACCATTAATATAATGTAGTTTCTAGTTAATCACTTCAATTGTATGTAAACAAAACATATAACGCTTCATCATTAATATCATCATCAAATCTCTATACTTCTATTCATGGTATACAATAGATTGTCACAATTACTCCCACATGCAA